TCCTCCTCTGTCTATCCATCCATCCGTCTGTCAGGTGGTTGGCCTTTGGCCCTCTGTGTGTGTGTGTTGGGGGGGGGAGGAGAGCTGGGGGGCCGGGGGGAGGGAGGGCATAAGATGTCAACGACAGTAACCTCTGGCATGTTGAGTCAAACAGTACACTCAAACGAACCTGGAGTCAAGTACGCCCATGAAAGGATTGCAAAATCGCCGCAAAGAATATCATGTGAAGGCCACAAAGTGCAAAGAATGAGGGACAACTGAGATAAACAAAAAGACGGAGTCACGGAACCCAAACAGACGGTACTCTTTTCATAACCTTCCCTTCGCCCTTCTATCGACTGCCAATGCAGGAATCTGAAGCACAGGGTAATAAAGAAGAAAGGAATCTGATTCAAGTGACTGCTTTAGCTCGCAACGTTGCCAACCCGTCTGAAGAACAACCGTAAGAAGCGCAGCCATGTCAGTGCTGGCCATGGACGTCTGTAACCACAGGAAGCATGCTCTTAAACTGCTAGTACATGCTACATATCGGCCGCGGGTACGTTCTGGAGGCCAAAACATGCCGCCGGCTGCTGATTTGTTTTATCGGCAGTGCGTCAGCGTGGACTTTTTCGGAGTAGGTGACGGACAATTCTGCACAAGGCTGGGGCCATGTACATCTAGCGGTTTAAGGCTGGAGGTACTGCATCATCACAGAATCATACCATCCAGGGTACTCTAGGAACGTGGTGTTTTTTTTGGGGGGGGGATTCAAGGCATTTCCACATGCTGAAGAACAAGTATCACTGTTGTATTATAAGCGGGCACGAGCTGTGGACACTGCTGTCATGACCTGAATACAATGCGTAGTTATTATCACTCCATCTAGGCCAAAAAGTTAAACCAAATGCAGTTCTAATGACCAGGGGTTATATTTGGGTGGAGACGGTAGTTCCGGAGGAGTTGAGAGAAAAAGGCAACGGCGCAAAGGCGGCACCTATGCTTGACCTCATGAAGACAGGCATCCTCAAGCTCCTTCGAAGTTGGCAAGGACATCCTCTCTGAACAACCCCTGTTGTCAAAACGTAAAATTGCGGGGAAAATGACTGAGGAGACCGGTGGCGCAGTTGTTCTTTTGGTATAAGAATCAGCTGTGGAGAGAGAGAGAGAGAGAGAGAGAGAGAGAGAGAGAGAGAGAGAGAGAGAGAGAGAGAGAGAGAAAGCTGTATTGAGGTCAACTTTCATAAGAATCAGCTGTG